ATAATTTTGAGTGTAGGATATTTTCCAGACACCTGGAATCAAGGCCTAATTACACCCATCTTTAAACAAGGAGACAAGTTCGATCCAAGCAATTACAGAGGCATATGTGTCAATAGCAACCTGGGGAAAATATTCTGTTCGATTATTAACACAAGATTACAAAACTTTCTCAAAACCCACAAAATCTTGGAAAAAAGTCATATTGGATTCCTGCCCAAACACAGAACATCTGACCACATTTATACCCTCCACACTATCATTGATAAACATGTACACCAAAACAAAACCAAAATCTTTGCTTGCTTTATCGACTTTGAAAAAGCTTTTGATTCAATCTGGCATGAAGGACTCTTTCTAAAACTACTGGAAAATGGGATTGGAGGGAAAACTTTTGATTTAATCAGCACCATGTATAAAAACAATACATGTGCTGTAAAAATAGGGAATAATCTAACAGAATTTTTCTCTCAACAATGAGGAGTTAGACAAGGTTGCCCATTAAGCCCCACTCTGTTTAACATTTATATAAATGAATTAGCCAAAGAATTAAACAATTCGACTGCCCCCGGCCCAACCCTAACTGAATCAGAAATCAAATGTCTCCTCTATGCAGATGATTTAGTCATTCTGTCAAAAACAAAAGAGGGACTACAACAGCTCCTCGACATCATAGAGACATTCAGTCAAACATGGGCTCTTAAAATCAATCTAGCAAAAACTAAAATAATGATTTTTCAAAAGAGACCCAGGTGTAAGGAAAATAAACACACTCTCAGAGCGGGAAACCACCCATGAATACAGCTCCAACACACCCATGAATACAGCTATCTGGGACTAAAAATCAGCTCAACAGGGAACTTCAATCTGGCTGTGAATGAACTGAAAGCAAAGGCACTGAGAGTCTTCTACATGATCAAAAATACAATTCAATTTGAAATTCCAATTCAAACCTGGCTAAAAGTCCTAAAAGCAATAATCGAACCAATCGTTCTTTATGGCAGTGAGATATGGGGACCCCTAAAAACCCAAGATTTCTCCAAATGGGAAAAAGAAGAAATTGATATAATGCATACCCAAATTTGTAAAAGCATCTTAAAAGTTAACAGAGCAACACCAAACAACTCGTGCAGAGCTGAATTAGGACAATACCCATTATTAATTAATATTCAAAAGAGAGCTGTGAAATTCCACTAGCACCTGAGATGCAGTGACGCGAGCTCTTACCAGACTGAAGCCCTGCAGTGGCAAGAGCAGAACCTGCAGAAGAGTGCCCTTTTACAGCTGGTGCTCAAACTACACCCAAACCAGCACAGCACAATCCGGCCCAACCACATCACACAGCTACAAAAACACAATCACATTGCTTATTGGAAAGATGCCACTAAATTACAAAAGAAGATGGAGCTGTATTTAGACCTGAAAAGAGACTACAAACCAGCAGAATACCTGAGCTGTGTAAAAGATCACAAATTAAGAAAGACACTCCCAAAATGAAAATTTGCTAAAAATGTACTCATCTTCAGGCCATCTAAGATGTAGATGAGTTTGTTTCTTCACGAGAACAGATTTGGAGAAATGTAGCATTCCATCACTTGCTCACCAGTGGATGCTCTGCAGTGAATGGGTGCCGTCAGAATGAGAGACCAAACAGCTGATAAAAACATCACAATAATCCACAAGTAATGCACACAGCTCTAGTCCACCAGATAATGTCTTGTGAAGTGAAATGCTGCGTGTTTGTAAGAAACAAATCCATCATTGAGACATTTTTTACCTATGAACCGTTGCTTCAGGTTAAAATCTTCTATCCATAATATTGCTTTCGCCAGTGAAAAAATGGTCTCATCTGAATCAGGAGAGAAATATGCACAAATCAAGCACTGTTTGCAAGCAAAAACAGTCCAAAACAGTTCTAAACTAATATGTGAGTGAATTTTGATGGATTTCCAAATGTTTTTTTTTTTTGACTGGAGGAATCATTATGATCTATTATGGACTTGGAAGAGATGGTTTAAAGAGCAGGTCATATGGGTTGTCGAAAAATATCTCTTTTGCAGTTTGTTATGTAGCTATCCTTCAGTGTAAACAGTCTGCAAAGTTGTTAATCAAAAAAGTGCATGATAAATAAAGATATTGTCTCTCAAAAGAAGATGTACCACATACAGGTTTTAACCTTACCACTGAGAAACGTCCTGATCAAGTCATGCTTGCGATGGAGTTTCCGGTTGAGCGACTGCATCGGTATAGTCCTCGAACTCGGGCTCGAATTGATAAGGTAATATCGATGCCATTTTTGTAACCTTATAGCATCTTTTTTTACAAGTAACCCTCCGGAGCAAAAAATAAATTATGGTAATGGCCTTTTCGTTTCTGACACGCATTGTATACGGAAAGATCAATCACAACAGTCTTGGCCAGCTGACCAATCAGAGCAGAGTAGGCTTATGGAAGGGAGGGTTTACAGATCTTAAGCTCAGAAAATTGCAGTTTCTCACCAATTAAACCTCATATTTTAATTTCTTTCTTTGACCATTGTGTTATTTCCATGCCATTAATATACTCCCATGCCTGACTGCAGCATGTTGCCATGCTGTGGGGAGTGCTGACATCTTGCAGTACTCTCAAGAGACCCAGAAGTATGCAGAGTGCATACATTTTACAGCTGCCCTGTCAATGACCACTTTCGCAGGAAACTAGTGGATCTTCCAGACACTAGAAACTGTCTCTTGAGCTCATTACGCCTGTGAATTCTGTGTAAACAGCCCTGAGAACAGTATCTCAGTTCCTGTCCAGTAGACCTACTCTCCTCTCACTTTATCTTCTTCTTTTACTGTATCAGCTCAAAAACATGGCCTTGGCCTGACATGAAAAACCGACCATTTACTTTCTTAATGCATGTTCCTTGTGCATTACTGCATGTTATAGGAAATAGGACATGCACAAGTTATGATTTTCCCATATGATTTGGAAAATCATCATTTGTGTAAATATCTGATCACCTTTTTCTACATTTATTTTTGATATTTACACTACCGATAAAAAGTTAAGTGTCAGTAATGTATTTTTTTTTAAAGTAATTGATACGTTTGTTCAGCAAGGATGCATTAAACTGATCAAAAGTGACAGAAAAGACTTTTACATCTTGAAAAAAATGTATCACGGTTTCCACAAAAACATAAGGCAGTACAACTGTTTTCATCATTGATAATAATAAGAAATGTTTCTTGAGCAGAAAATCAGCAGATTAAAATGATTTCTGAAGGATCGTGTGACACTGAAGACTGGAGTAATGATGCTGAAAATTCAGCTTTGCAGCACAGAAATAAATTACATTTTAAAATATATTAAAATAGAAAATTGTCATTTCAAATTGTAATAATATTTCAAAATATTGCTGTTTTTAATGCATTTTTCAGCAAATAAATGCAGCCTTGGTGAGCATAGGAAAAGTGATATTTCATCATTTTTGTGTGCCAATATGAAAACACAACATAATAAAATATTTTTTTATCTAGATATACACTGATCAGGCATAACATTATGACCACTGACAGGTGAAGTGAATAGTTTGTCCTCTAAGTTGAAAAATGGGCAAGTATAAGGATTTAAGCGAGTTTGACAAGTGCCAAATTGTGATGGGTAGATGACTTGTGGGGTGTTCCCAGTCTGCAGTGGTCAGTATCTATCAAAAGTGGTCCAAGGAAGGAACAGTGGCGAAGGCATGGCCTGCGTTGTCTGATCCGACAGACGAATATTAAAATAGAAAATTGTCATTTCAAATTGTAATAATATTTCAAAATATTGCTGTTTTTAATGCATTTTTCAGCAAATAAATGCAGCCTTGGTGAGCATAGGAAACGTCTTTCAAAAATATAAAAAACTTTTGAATGATAGTATATACAGTATGTATCTGTTCTAAAATGGCACAGAGAGGTGCTATTTAATGTGAGAACTAAGACAATGAAACTTTGTGTACCAATTAAACAAGGAAAAGTGATATTTCATCATTTTTGTGTGCCAATATGAAAACACAACATAATAAAATATTTTTTTATCTAGATATACACTGATCAGGCATAACATTATGACCACTGACAGGTGAAGTGAATAGTTTGTCCTCTAAGTTGAAAAATGGGCAAGTATAAGGATTTAAGCGAGTTTGACAAGTGCCAAATTGTGATGGGTAGATGACTTGTGGGGTGTTCCCAGTCTGCAGTGGTCAGTATCTATCAAAAGTGGTCCAAGGAAGGAACAGTGGCGAAGGCATGGCCTGCGTTGTCTGATCCGACAGACGAGCTACTGTAGCTCATATTGCTCAAGAAGTTAAGTCTGACGCACACTAGTCTGTTATCATCCGGATGAAAAGAAATGCACATCTGAGGGAAATCTAGGTTGAGCATGACTAGAATCATTTTGTTTTGTTCCTACCTCGTGATGCAGTCGGTCTGAAGTAGTTGAATTATGATCGGCTGTTAAATGTGAGGGCAATTTCAATATGACCTGATTAGCATTATCAGGTTATTGTGGGCCGACCCGTTTGATGGATGTTGGCAAAGATGAAAGACACAAGCCTACAGACAGACAGTCCAGCTTTTCTCCCCAAGCAATTATCACCATTATGTAATAAATCAAGATAATAGATGGCAAAATATCTCATAGCGGTCAGAAAGGAGTATCTGTAAGCGATCAGGGAAGGAAAACAACGAGGCAGCGGGGTGCTGAGATGTAAATGAATTCATCAGAAATATCTGTCCTTAATCTTGGCAACATTTCCTGGACTTCAAAGGCTGCGGGTCCCCGCAGGAGAGCTCTGAGTCATGCAGCACTTATTATTTATGCACTTTACCAGATCTGTCAGTCAGCAGCTGGAGAGCGGCCAATTAATAATTTCTCTGCTTTCTTTCTCTCTGCATCTCTCTTATGCGATCATAGCTCATTCACACTCCAAACGTTTTCAAAACATGTGCTATTTCTGTCTTTGTTCTCCCTCTCTCACACAGACTAACAAAGCGGTGACTAAAGGAGACTTTCACCACGCCAGCTCCAGCTCCAGACGTGCGCTCTTCCTCGCCGTACTGTCCATCACCATCGGGACTGGCATCTACGTGGGTGTGGCTGTGGCCCTTATCGCATACCTCTCCAAAAACAATCACTTGTAGCCTTCCCATGCCCAAAACCACTCTCACGGTCGGATAAAGACTGGTTAATTTTGGGATCAGCTTTTTGGGAAAACACCCAATGGTCACGATACAGGACTCACCAGCAATGTGTTCCACTCCTGCACTTTTAAAAGTCGTTTCCATTTCGTTGGGAAGATCATTGTTTGTGTAAACTGTCTTGATCACTTTTCTGCGTTTTCATGTGAACGTGCCGCCACCACTATTGTTTTTTTCTTTGCGCTCAGTGTTTGTGCAAGTGCAACTACACACAAGATTTTGGCCAAGTTAAAGTCGATATGAAATCAAAATGGGCCTGATTTATTTTCTTAATGCATGTTCTTAAAAATAGTTCTTCCATATTGTGCACGTTTTTCCAAAAAAATTATTCACCAAAATGGATTTATTTGCTCTGCCACTGCACAACTTTCCTTTTTGTCATCAGATGGATGGCCAATCCAGGCAATTTCCAATGGATGAAATCAGGGGCCGGTTGCACCAGCTGTGCGCAAGTTACATTGCCTAATTTTGATGTTAAAGCGCATTAAATTACAACTTAGGCACTATTAAATATTTTTGAATTGCACCAACTCTACGTATAAACTACATATTTACTAAATAAGCCTCCAAACAGAAGTAACTGTTGGAATGAAAGAGCAGAATGATTGAATTGCATCAAAAAGGTCATGCTTTACCTGACAAACTTCAATTTTTTAGACATACATGATGTAGAGGTGAGCAATATTTTTTAGGATCATTTTAATGATAATTTAACGATATTTGGCTGAGTGTGTTTTTGTGCTAGCACCTTGGCTGGTTTAGGCCTATCATGGATAAATATGACACTAAAACCGCCAGTCAATCCCTGTCTTAATGAGTGATTCATTGAATCATTCATTCATGGAAGTGGAGAGACCGGGAACTGAGACAGGACCAGCGGAGCAGAGAGACAGGGCCAGACAGCAGACCACCACGGCGGGACAGAAGACCAACAAGGCCGAGCAGAAGACCACCACGGTGGAGCAGAGGACCACCAGAGCCAGACAGACCACCACGGCGGAGCAGAAGGAACAGGAAACCCCCCCGGTGAACCACACCGATCAGGAGACCATGGCGGAGACTGTAACAACGAGAAAGCAGACACAGACAGAACATTGGGGTTGATAGATAAGGCTGAGTGTTCAGAGGAAGCCTCCTTGGTTGGGTCGGGACAGAACAAAAGTTCACAAATGACCTCATTAGCCATGACAGGACAGGATGAGGATTCCCCGACGGCCTCTATAGCTGTGACAGGACGAGCAGGGAGTTCGCAATCGGCCTCTATAGCCGTGACAGGACGAGCAGGGAGTTCACAAACGGCCTCTATGGCCGTGACAGGACAGGCAGAGAGTTCATAGACGGCCTCCTTGGCCGGAACAGGACAGGCAGAGAATTCACAGACAGCCTTCCTGGCCGGAACAGAACAGGACGAGAGTTCACAAGTGGATACTACTGACACCTCTGGAGGTTCTGCAGCGAAGGCCGCCACCTGTGGAGGTCTACAGTAATACCAGCAGGAAACAGGGAGAGTTCATTAATATTCCGTTTAACCGTATCGGTACAGAGTTCAGCAACGGTCTCTTCGACCGTGACAGGACGAGCTGAAAGTACATTGCTGGGCACCACCACCATACCAGGAGCCGAAGCGAGCGCCGCCGCCTCGGGAAGTTCTGCAGCCTCAGCCGCCACCTCTGGAGAACCTGGAGAGAGCACCACCATCTCAGGAGGTTCAGTGGTAGTGTACGCAGCCCAAACACACCAAAAAGCGATCCCCATCAAGGGAAGCGCTTCAGACAGGGGAATCAGTTGAGGAACAGTAGGGCTAAAGTGAGTGGGTTTGGGGATACCAGCTGCGCGTGCAGACACCAGCGGTGCATCCCTCACATTGGATACCAGACTGGGATAGCGAAGGACTGACTTTGATAATCTGGGTGCAACAGACAGGACGTGACATGACTCTGGATGATCAGCTGTGAGGTGACATGACTCATGAAGATCAGCTGTGACTTGACCTGCCTCACGAAGAACAGCTGTGGCTTGACTTGCCTCACGAAGATCAGCTGAGACTTGACTGGCCTCACGAAGATCAGCTGAGACTTGACTTGACTCACGCTGTCGCCGCCATCTTGTGAGCATGTTCTAGAGCGGCCGCCATAACATGAGTGAATTCGGGGTCGCGTTTCTCCGCAATATCCACAGTGAATGCTGAACCAATAGACAATAGGGCATAGTCCATAAAATCACGTAGAGACGAGCGAGAACCCTCAGAGATCAGTCGTGATTTTACTGGCTGGTTAAGGCCACTACAAACGAAGTCAATTAAAAGGCAGTCCGGTAATTCTGAGCCTGTAGTTAAAGCCAAATATTCTGTGATATACCCTTCCAGAGAACGTGTGCCCTGTTTAAGGGCTAATACGTGACAGTTACCCTGGAAAAACTATGGTTCATTTACAGACAGACAGCAAAATATGGCATATGTCCTTTCTGTGTTTGTTGATTTTCCAAATTTTTATTAAGAAATGCATCTTTATTAATACTGTGGATTCAATGTTCACAGAACATCAAAAAGAACAGATTTGCACACGGCATTTGCTCCTAAAATAACCTAATATTAATTTACAGTAATGTTTTGATTAGAGTAGATCCTTGAATTAATTTATGTTAATGGTGTTTTTTTGTTGCTGTTGTTGTTTGTCTTATGTGTAACATAAAAGAAGATATTTTGAGAAAGTGCTCAGTGTTTGTTTTGTCCATAGGCTACAGTGGAAGTCAATGGTCACCAAAACAGTTCGGTTACCAGCATTCTTCAAAATATCTTTGTGTGTGTGTGTGTGTGTGTGTGTGTGAATGGGTGCAGTGAATGGGTGCCGTCAGAATGAGGGTCCAAACAGCTGATAAAAACATCAGGACTGTTTTGGACTGTTAGCACTTGTAAATGTGCTTGATCTGTGCATATTTCTCTCCTGATTCAGACGAGATGACATTTTCACTGGGAAAAAGGACTCGTGTTTTAGCCAAAAGCAATGGTTTGAAGTTAAAACATCTTAATGATGGATTTGTTTCTTACAAACACGCAGCTTTACTCTTCAGAAGATGTTAACTGATGGACTGGAGTGGTGTGGATTACTGTGATGTTTTTATCAGCTGTTTGGACTCTCATTCTGACGGCGCCCATTCACTGCAGAGCATCCACTGGTGAGCAACTGATGGAATGCTACATTCATTTGATGATGAAACAAACTCTTGTACATATTGGATGTCCTGAGGGTGAGTAAAGTTTCAGCACATTTTCACTTTTGGGTGAACTATTGCTTTAATGCTTTTATTCTGCAAGGACACATTAATTTGATCATAAGTGACACTAAAGATTTCTTTTTTTTCTTCTTTTTTTTAAATGCTGTTTTTTTTAACTTTCTATTCATCAAAGAATCTAGAAAAATAATTGATTACGGTTTCCACAAAAATATGAAGCAACACAAATGTTTTTAATATTGATATAGAAAGAAATGTTTCTTGAGCAGCAAATAAATGATTTATGAAGGGTTAGGGTTAGGGTTAATGCTGAAAATTCAGCTTTGCATCACAGCAATAAATTACATTAAAAAAAATATTCAAATACAAAACAGTTCAAATTAAAATTGTAAAAATATTATATAATACTACTATAATATTACTGTTTTTACTGTATCTGTGATCAAATAAATGCAGTCTTGACTTTCAGGGGCAGATAAAGTACAAATAAGTTTCAGACTGATAGATGGATGTTTTTGCACATTTTGTCTGCACGTTCATTTCCTTCCTGTGTTTTTCTTAGAAGTTTGTTATAATAATCCACCTGTCCATCAATTGTAGTGAAGCAACACATGTTGTTCCTGACAAACACGATTGTTATTCATAGCACAACCATCTGCATTTGTACTGCTACTACTCCTACTCTGCTAAAAGGGTTAAATGGCATCTGGGCGTAAGAGCACAATTAGCCTAATGCACAGTTGTTCCATGTTTACGGTCATTTGCTGAGATGTGATCTCAAGAGCTTTAATAATATTAGAGGGGTTTGTATGTGTTTTCTGAATTTGTGGGCTTTAGTTAATCTCTCTCCCACTACAACCCAAATAATTAGGTTGCAACATAATACCTGCTGTACGCCATAATTTGGGGGCGGATGCAGTTTTGTAAACACTGTGGTTTTCATTCTCATAATTGGCAGATTGAAATGACTTGTGGCCTTATCTGACTGTCCAGCGCTACAAAGAATTTTTTATTCAAATGAGCACCTGAACATTGGAAATTCAACTGATTTGACCTGAAGCTATTATTGGAGAAAATAAGTCATGTTCTTCCTGGTTTATGTGAGCTGCATATCAATAAAGCTGGGCAAATTTAAGGACTTTCTCAACAGCACTGCTTGTAAGATGTTTTGTGCTACATATACGTTATATAAATGACAGGATAGATACCATACACTCTAAAAAATGCTGGGTTAAATACAACCCAGTGCTGGGTAAAATAGGGACAAACCCAGCAATTGGGTTGTTTTGGCCCAGCGGTTGGGTTACTACCCTGAAGGTTGGGTTAAACATTTAACCCAACCGCTGGGTCAAAACAACCCAATTGCTAGGTTTGTCCCTATTTTACCCAGCACTGGGTTGTATTTAACCCAGCAGTTTTTTGAGTGTACTAACATACTATTCTTACAATTTCTACAGTATATAGTATGGAATATTTACTGCATAGAATATTTTATCCTGCAATGCAAAGTGTGTCCAGAGAAAAAACAGAAGTAGGCCTACTGGGGGAAAAAAAGTGTTGTTTTAATTTAATTTTAAAATATTATTTTTTGAATCAACCTAAATCCATATTTTAACAACAAAACTAAACTGGGTTAAATCAAGTAGAAATAGCTCTATAAGGTAAAAGTTAGCTGGAATTTTTCAAACAACCATGTCTATTATTACTATTCTTCGAAGCGTTTATTGTTGCTTCACTTACTGCTGTCTACACTCTAAAAAATGCTGGGTTGTTTCAACCCAATGTTGGGTCAAATATGGACTAACCCAACTGTTGGGTTAAAAAGCTAATTTAAAAATGTAACCAAAATTTAACCCAACAGTTGGGTTAGTCCATATTTGACCCAACATTGGGTTGAAACAACCCAGCATTTTTTAGAGTGTACTGTTTCACTGAATAGTATATAGTGGCTCTGTTCCAAATGCTAGTGAGTTGTATTGCCGTGTACTGCCTTCATCCTAATTCAAATGAAACCTCGTAAGTGACCGTTTTGGAACAGTCTACATAGGCACAAAGAAGTGTGCTTCATTCTTTTGAATGTGCACTCGTAGTGTACTTCAAAGTGCTGCCCATCAATTTTTCAAACAACCATGTCTATTATTACTATTCTTTGAAGCGTTTATTGTTGCTTCACTTACTGCTGTCTACACTCTAAAAAATGATGGGTTGTTTTAACCCAATGTTGGGTCAAATATGGACTAACCCAACTGTTGGGTTAAATTTTTAAATTAGCTTTTTAACCCAACAGTTGGGTTAGTCC